CACGCACACACACATATAAATAAATAAACTTTTAAAAAAAATATTCTTCCAGGGCTGGCCATATAGCTCAATGGACTAAAGTGCCTGCTTTGGCAGAGCACAGGGACCGGGGTTCAATCCCAGGCATGCCATGCCAGCTCCACCCGAGGCAAGCTGGGACTGGGTTTGAGACTAGGCGTGATGGCACACACCTGTAATCCCAGTGCTTGGGAGGCTGAAAACAGGATCACTACGAGTCCAATCTGTGTAGTTAGACCCTGTACTAAATACAAAAAAATACAAAATACATATTCTTCCAAAGCTTTAGCATGTGTAGAATGTGAATAAACTGTTAACAGGGATAACGATATTAAATAAAGCCCACTGGCTCTCCTCAGAATTTTGGTATTTAATTATTTTTTGGAGTGAAACAAATGAGATTTAGCAGGAAGCCATTACAGGTGTACCCCTTGGAAATATAAATTAGAAATAAACCTAGAGAATACCTTTTTCCTTTTGTGTGAATGACCAGATATAAGAGAGAAAGGGCAACAAAGACATTAATTAGGTTTTCTTGACAAACTCTTTCAATTCTAGGCTCAGGCACCGGAACAAACGGTAACCCTATATGAGGATGAACAGTACCCAGTCCATACGCCATTAGTAGAAATGGGACTTGCAGACAGAGATGAATGATGTAAGTATACATACATTCTTGTCCACTCTTCAGGTCAGCATAGGACTGTTGCTGCAAAGAGCAACACAGAATAAAAGCGCCTGTGAATTTTCTTGATTTCTCCAAGGAATTATAACAAAGCTGTAAATAAATGTTCCATATTTCTTCTTAAGCCTTTCTCACTGCTCAGGCAACCAGTTTCAAAGAGAATGCTGGAAATGGCTTTGTGAATGTCCTGGTACTAAGTAGGGGGAGGACAGAGGGAACCATGAGTAATTTAGGTACATGAATATGTGGTAAGCAGTAGAATTACCCAACAGTCAGCAGTCAAATAACAAAGTCATCAGAGCACCAGGGTAATCAGATGTCTTTTATTTATTTATTTATTTATTTATTTATTTATTTATTTATTCTGGTGGAACCGGGGATTGACCTCAGGTGCTTGCACTTCCAGGGAAGCACTTATTCCACTGAGCCGCCTCCCTGGCCCCAAAAAACCGCAGATTGTTTTGTTTTGTTTTGTTTTGCCACCTCAAGATGCCTTCAGGGCATTTCTAGTTTGGCGGGAGTATCAGGATTTGAGCCACAGCATCCTGAGCCTGAATGTTTCCTTTAAGCAGGCACTTAAACAACTGAGCTAATGGGCAGGCCCCCAATCAGATGTCTTATTCATGCAGTTCTCACCAGTGACTCAGCAACTAGGGAACATTAAACAAAGGGACGCTTCTTAGTAATATAATTGTTTTTCAGGTATACACAGCAGAGCATCTGTAGCAGCCCAGAAGAAAGTACGCTACATTTAGGCCCTCTCAGACTGCCTGGCCTGTTCTACAGTGGTGCTGTTCTTTCCCACCCTAATTCTTACAAGTTGAACTGCTAAGTGTTGTGAGAAATATCAAAATAGTAAAAAATATTTGCTTTTTAACATTTTTGTTCTATTTTGCTGTTATTTTCAAAATTAAATAGGAGAGGCACTTTTTGTTTTGGCAGTACTGGGGTCTGAACCAGGGCACTCATATTCAACTGCATCCCCAGAATATTTTCTCTCCGCTTTTATTTTTGAGTTGGGCTCAAATTTACAATCCTGCCTCAGCCTTCCAAAGTGCTTGAATTACAGACATGTGTTACAAGCCCAGCTTAACTAATAATGATTTGGCTTAAGAAATGAGCTAATGTTTTGTGAATTTCTCAGAGAAATGTGAAAGGTCTGCCCAAAATGACTCTGACAAGTCCAGCACTGGATGACCAGCAGGCTGGACCACTACCAAAGTCACTAATCCCCGGCTGAAATGACTGCTGTAATAGAGCATTAATCAAAACCACAAAATAGGGCTGGTGAAATGGCTCAGTGGTCTAAAGCAC